GTTCATTAGTCTGTTCGTAACAATTGCTTCTTGAAAGTCTTGTGAGGGGCAAACAGGTAAAGACGAGAAAAAAAACAACCTGTCCCTGGAGGTTTGAACCCATGTAGTCTGAGTAATGCTAAATAAACACATTCATGTTTTCTTCAGTAATTAGAAGAAATGATAGCTGAAGAAGTTTTCACCATCATCTTTTCTTACTGTTAATGGTGGCTTGCCAACATCCACTATAAAGTTTCAGAACAATTTTTTTTTTTCAACAGCAGCAAAGCAAAAAATAACCTCTGAGAGAAAAAGGAATTTGATAGTGATTATAAGATTAAGAGGACCAGCTTCTGAAGTTGTCATATCAACCAGTGTCTCGATGAAGTCAGTCATTTCATCCACAGGGATATAAAGCATCTTAAATCCCTCTGTACTTCTTATTCATGAGCTGGCTCTTCTGGAGTTTGTCAGCTGTTCAAAGAGACCGAAGAGACTGGAGGGAATTTTAACTTGGCTCCTAGTAACTCTGGCTTTACCTGAGGCCTTGCCTGTCATAATAAATTCAGTCTCTCATGCCACTAAGTATTCTTCCTCTTCCATAAAAAAACCCACGCTTTTTTTCCTCCTCTCTCTTATTCTTTATTCTTATTATTTATTCTTTTCTTATTCTTTAGCCACTTCAATAGAAAGTAAGCTAAAGCAAACAAGCCATGCTCATCCTGGAATAAAAGTGACCACACAGAAGGAAAGCAATCTAGAGTTAAATCTGCTGAAAAACATCAAGGGAAACAAGGAAGTTTTTACTGATACCTATAAAATGTAGACTAGATAAATGTCATCCCAGTGGTGAAAGGGCAGGAGACCTGATAACAAAGACTACGGAAAAAGCCAAGGTACTGAGTGCCACTGCCACCTTCTCTACTGGTAAAGCCAGCTTTCAGGTACCTCAGGTTCCTATGACTAGGGAAGTCCAGGGCAAAGAAAGTTCACCCTGAGTGAAGAAGGATCAGGTTAATGAATGTTCAAACAGACCAGACATGTACATGTTTTGACAGGATACACCCAGAGGAACTGTAGGAACTTGCCAGTGTCACTGCAAGGCCATCCTTAATTGTCTTTAAAAGGTCATGGCAATTGGGCAAGGTCCCTGAGGACTGGAAGAAAGGAAGGATCACTTGTATCTTCAAGAAGGGCAAAAAGAAGAACATCTGGGGAACTGCAAACTGGTCAGCCACACTCTATTCCTGGGGAAGGTGATGAAGCAAATTTTCCAAATGTGTCAGGGACAAGAAGATGATTGGGAGTGGTCAGGATGGATGACCTGTACAAGTGGTAAAACTTCAAAGCACAGCAAGACAATGCAGCCCTCTCTATGTCAATGTGTACCTCTTAGACAAACAAAAAACCTGACTAGCTGTCTACGGAACCACATGTGCTTGACTTTGGTTTAGCATCCAGGTCTTGTATGCCCCTTGTGCAGTTGAGAGAAATTAAAAAATGCATAGAGAAGGGAGACTGCTTGTGAAAGATTATAGCTGGCTTTGACATTTCACTGCAAAAGGGAGTAGGGCTGGCTTGTAACTCTAGTGCTATCATACAAAATGGCCTGTCCACAATTAGGATAAAATACTTACTAGGCCTAGCAGAATGCTGCTGGCATTACCAACTCTCTTTTCCCATACTTTTCTCTAATTCCCTCAGATTTATTTTGGCTTGAAACTTTTCACGTTTGCATGTTGGCCAGAAGTAAAGGTATTTTGATAGTTCCAGCAAGATCTGTTGTTTTTTAGCTCTCCACTTTTGTGCAAGTTTAAATTACTTCCAAACAATACCAGTTTTAGAAATGAGCTCTGTGACACATATTGAACAGAATATAGGGGGAGTTTGTCTGATCTGTTAAAATGTAGTGAAAGCACAAAATACGCTGGATCTAACAACCAAATCTATTACAGTCCAAATTACCACATTGTAATTCCATGTAAGAAATTGACATCTGTAGCCATGCAGCTGTATTAAGACCTGCAAAGAGACAGGAGCTTGCTTTGCACAATGCATTACACATCTCTAAACCATATCAATCCACTTAGATTATAAAATAAATTATTAATCTTTTCTGATTTTCCCCCATTTAAAATAAAAATACAACTAGTTGTTTAAATAACAAAAGGGGGTATTTGTAATACCACAGTAACTCACAAACCATGACCTTATTTGGATATATTGTTGGTAAAACTGTTTTCAGTGGTGTTTGGCTAGTGGAAAAAAATGAACTTTCTTTACAAAAAGCCTAGCCCTTTTAAAAATAAAAAAACATGGGGTGAAAAAATCTGGAAAGAAATAACCAGAAGTGTTCTCATTCCTAGAACCTGGAGACCCTTCGATATCCTACTAACATTTTAACACAACCTAGTCCTGATAACTGGCAGTTTATCAAACTGATAAATGGCAGTTTAGCAGCCATTCCTGGAAGATACTTTTTCACTGATGTCCAGAAAAGAGAAAACCACAATGCGGTGATGATTATTCCTGTTCCCACAGCCTTTCTTTTTCTCTTCCTCTCCTACAGGTCACTCTAACCTGCCTTATGTAAGCACTTTCCTGGAACCAATTTCCAGTAATTAACATCAGTACAATACTCAAGCAGTGCTCAAAACTGAGGACATTTGTTCATCTTAACTGCTGTTTGCATAAAAACAAATCTTCCACAGAATTATCTATCACGTACACCAATCTTCATGAGCAAAATGTTAAATTAGCTTGCTGGAAAACAATAAAATCTGCACTCATATTTGTAATGTGCACTCAGAAGACCTCAGAACTCTCTTCTGTGTTATATTACGTGATGTTACTTCTTATTTCGGCAATTAAGTAAAGAAAAGAAACTTCCGTGCAGTCAAACAAATGTATAATGAGGAATAGTGCTGATAAAAGCGGGAGGCTAGCAAAAAGCATGACAACAGAGCCTGGACTATTATCCAAGACAATTAGAGACAATTTCAAAATTAATCTAGAGTCCCCAGAGAAAATAGGGAACTTGTTTAGATTGAAAATTTTGATGGAAAAGCACAAGAAGAGCATGCCTGGTGCTTAGAGATCAAGTCATGTGCATATAAGCCACAGATCAAGGGTGTTCATACAGGCCCAAGGCTCCAGGCAGTGCAGCAGTACAGCACTGTTGGGTAAATCTTAACTCTGCTCTACAAGAAGAGGACATCAGGGGAAAAGGAGGGGCCAACTGGGAAAAGGAAAGTAAGAGGAAGAAGGAAAGCAAGAATCTAGAAAGTCTGGTAAGGGTTTTAAGACTGTCATGAAGGTTGAGAACAAGAGAATTGGGAAAGACAGAGATGTGTCCTGCTCCTGCAGAGCTTCTGGGCTCTGGGGCAGAGCTGTGCATACTAATGACAATGAAGACAGTCTGGGGCAGAAGAATGGCAAGAGAAAGAATTTGATGGGAAGGGGAGACAAATGACAAAAACGCACCTTAAAGACATGATTTGTTCAATGCAGCTGCTGGTAGGCAGTGTGTGCATGCAAGACGGGGAAACGGCTCTCTTTTCTCAAAGGATCCTGCTCCTGGGACAGGACAGACTCAAAGTGATGCTTGCATCCACATCAGTCCGTTTGCGTGGACTGCTCACCGCTCAGCTGTGAATAATTTTCTGGAGCTCAAACATCTGTGACTAGCCTCCTTTCAGAAAACTGGCTACTTGCGACCGATGCAACTGGCACTCAGGATTGACATATGCATCAGTCAGGAACATCAGTCCAGCAACAACAAGTGCAATCAGAACATCAGCAGTGCAATAAAGCAAAACCCTGGCCTTAGCCTACAGACAAACATGACCAAAATCTACATAACTGAGCCTGCTTCACTGCCCTTTCTGGCAGAGAGTAGCACAGAGGAATGATACTGCAGGAAGATAGCACATTACAGTCTTCATGCATGCCTGAACAGACACTATCAGCCACCTTTCATTACCTCTGTGCCCTCACACACAGCACCCTGGTGAGAGTGATTCACACAGACTTCAAATACCAATGCTTTTAGAGTGTTTAAGTAAATAGTTTCTTTGCCTTGCCTAGATCTTCCATGCTAACTAAAGCAGTGGCCACTAAGGCCAGAAAACATCACGTGGATCCTAACATGAGCTGCAGTTCTCCCCCTTTTCCAAGGCCCATATAGTTCAGGGTGGAGGGGATACTACACTTCTCTGGGAATTAGCACCTGTCTTTTCAAACACTGATCCTCACTTCCAGTCCCTGGAGCTAGAACAAAGAACAGAAATCATGGCAAACCAATCCTATTTACACCCTCCACCCAGCCCTAGTCTGAAGTGTGGGTGTTAACCCCACTGAGTGGGTTAACACACAACTGCTGCTGGATGTGCCTATAGATTCCTGCTGGCTACTATCAGGCAGAAAATTGTCAGTTTCAAAATTGGGCCCAATGCTCTGCTCCAAAACAGTGGCAGACACAACTTCCTTGTAGTGGAAGCACAGGAAAGAGGAAAGGAGTGGCAGCAGGAAGAAAAAAGGTGAAAGTGCCTTTCCTTTCCCTTGCATTTAATGAGCCTCTTAGACTCACACAATTTGGGATGTTATTCTTTTGGATGTGCTCTTGAAAGGTTTTTTCAAGCACTGGTGCAACCTCTGACTTCCTAACTTTCATCTCAGCTCCCTGTTTCTCCTACACTTGGCTGGCCAGACCATAAACAAATGTGTCCTTTTGTGTATGCATTGTAGTTTGTTTAGTACCTTTGGCTATGCATGTATCAAATAGGTCTGTAACTAATAAATATTGCAATCAATGCATACACTTGTGAGCTCTTTGAATCCTGAAGAAAAACAGTCTCCTACACTGAAAAAGTCTTCCTACTAAGGTACAACAATAAGGGCAAAGCTGTGCCCACCATGGTAGAAGTACTGACCCTTCTTTAAACTGAAGCAAGCACATGCAAAAAGCTTCTAAAAGATATGGAAAGGATGTGTTCAGCTTGAAGGGCACCTCAATCACATACCCGCTCCAAATGCAAAGAAGAAACTCTTGTCTGGGTACTCTTCCAGCAGGTCCTTCACCCTCCTGCCCATTCGCTCATTTCGCTTATAGATGAGCTCCTGACGGAAGTAGCTGTCTATCTCCTGGGCAGTAATACGTTCATGGGCCGGAAGCGTAGCATTAATGAAATTTGGGACCTAGATAGGGGAAAAAAAATGTCTTCATGAAACGGGCATTTATTTCACAGGCAGCCATCATGCACAGGCATTGCTCCATCACTGAATGTGCTGGTTGCTTTGTCCCTCAAGGCACATCCAATAGAACAAAACCCAAACAAAGACCAAAAATGACTCAGCAAACTTCTAATAATGCATAGTGCTTCATTTCTCTCAAAATATAATTTCATAAGCGAGCCAGCTGAATTATTTTTTATGCAGAGTCACCAAATACTCTCAATTTGCCACAATATAGATCAAATTATTTTTTATGCAGAATCAACAAATACTCTCAATTTTGCCACACTATAGATCGAAAAGCCAAAACTATTTGCCCCTGGCTATCTTTAGCTACATACCTCTTCCTTAAATTGCCATAGGTATGACATAACTATAATGATAATTACACTCTTCTAAGAGAGTATGACTGCTACCCCAGCCCTCAGGCTGTCAAAGAACTGTGCAATTTGAACTAGTTAACAATAACATTCCCAAACTTTCCAAAAGAAGAGGACCAGATTTTGTCAGGAAAGGAAGTATTACCACCTCCAATTCCCCTGTCCACAAGGTATCTTTTAAAATACTTGGTTCTGCCCCTGGGGTCCCCAGGACGGCTGTGGCTGCACACTATCATGACCTTCTGCGAGGGAAAGAAATGCGGGCCAGCTATCCTGGCATTCTAGCAAGTAGCTTTGGGCATTGCAGCTATGGGGACCTCTAAGGAAAGGGCATACAAGCAGTGGTTTCTGGGGAGCAGAGCCGCTAAACCAGGTACTTTCCCTTGCAAGACTGCAGCAGCAGCAGAGGCTCTGGCGCCACTCAGAGACTATTACCAACCATTTTTAAAGAGTTCTTAGCCCACACTGGGTCATCTACAGGGCAAACATGGAATCAAATACAATTTACAGAGAAGTGCTGCTTAAAAACACAGGCTGATAGTGTTGCAGACTACTACTACTCAGCTCCACTGTGAGGGATAATACTCTGCAGTGGAGTCCCTTGTGAAAGTGAAGGGTAGTTGCTCCTTCAGACATGCATGTCTTGGCAAGAGGTGCTCTCTCCAAGGATCTCAAGGCAATGTCACCTGTCTGCAGTCTGTAACACCTCAGCAGAATAGTGAAGCATCAACTGTATGCTCATAAGGTGCTGGCCTCCTTTGAGAAGCTCTTTGAAATCAATGAAGTACACAGTGTAAGAGCTAAGCAGTGTTAATTACCAGGTTGTCCTGTCCAAGGGCAGACAGGACAGGAAAGTAACAACATGTGTGCAAAGCTCAGTGCCAGAGAAGCAAGGGTTAGTATGACAGTATTTCCAGCTCTGTAGCACTGAATCATGTATATCAAAAGGCCATAAAAATGCTTATTCAGCAGGGCAAGCCCAGGTACCAAAATCTACTTGCTCAGCACTGTGAGGCTAGAGCCTGTTTCCGTTGATGTGGACGAAATGTGAGCACCCTGTGACCAGAACAGAGAGACCTGATGTCTCAGCCCGAGGTTAGCTAATCTTACAGCCCAAACAGGCCAAATTGGTCCCTGCTGGGCATTTTCTTTTGGTTTAAAGATCAGAGCATTGCATTCCACTGTGCTGCTTAGGAAACCGTCTCCATAAACCAAGTCTGAGAGGCCTCAGAAGGTTTTCTTTTCTTTAACATTCAGTCTAAATCTATTTTTGCTTTGTTTCACCCCATTTCTCTTTTTTGGGCCTTGTCCACAGTACACAATCATACTGATAGGGGACATTAAAAGCTTGCAACTTGCCCAGCCTTACACAAGTGTCCAAGTCACAAGTACATTTCTCTGTCACTATTTGCACAAAAAAAGCCTGCTGCTGCTCTCTGTTGGCACTAAGTTTGCTCATATCTAAGCTAGCATAATTCCACAGGATCCTTAAGAAAATAAAGGATTAACTCATAGAGCTTTGACACTAAAGCAAACATGGCACTTGTCCAAAAGGGAAAGCCAGGCGTGGCTTCACTGCTTGTGTGCAGCAAGGCGGTGGGGGGGGGGGGGTGATGCAGACTCTTGGGACAGGAGGTGCAGGAAAGCAGATGCACAAGGAACCAGCAGCATGGCCTTGGCTCTCACCTGCAAAGGGCCTAACTGAGGAGAGATGAGCATGAGACAGGGGTTAGCACTATAGGGACATATGCATAGTACAAGGGCTGCGGTGGTAAGACTCACTTGAGAAGCATCATGGTTGAAGATGATAGAGCTGAGGTCTCCACAGTTGTAATGCTTGATAAGGTCTTCTGTCGTATAGGGGATCTGTAAACTGCCTGCTCGGAGGCTCTCCTGCTGCAAGAGAGTCTGATTCAAAGCAAAGACCACCTGAGGAAGGGGGAGAGAGGGGAAAAGAAACAATTCCTGGTGAGTTCTCATCTCACCCCTTGAACAGGTCACAGATACAGAACCACCTGCCAAAGGCTCTCTGCAGCTGCTCACACTCCAGTCCACTCATCACCAACCCACGCCTCCAGGTCTGCAGGTACTCACAGCTCACAGCTCAGGCCTGCTCATAAGGAACTGACTCACCACACATAACTCCAGGAGGTTTTGCCCATAGATATTGTCCTGCGTTCAGCATTAGCAGTCATTTTTCTCCTTCTTGGTAGCTGGTGCAGTGCTGTGTTTTTGACTTTCGGCCTGGGAACAGAGCTGATAACAATGATGTTTTGGTTTGGCCAAGGACTTTGTGAGCCTCATGCTCTGCCAGGCAGGAGGGGAAGCCAGGAGGAAGCAGAGACAGGACACCTGACCCAAACTGACCAAAGAGGTATTCCATACCACAGCACGTCATGCCCAGGATGTAACTGGGAGTTACCCGGAAGGGCTGGGAGACTGCAGGGTTGGAGGAGGTATCGGTCAGTGCTTGGTCAGGCTGGGGGGGTGAGTTATTGGTTGGCTGATGCTGGGGTGTTATATTCTCTTCCCTTGTTATTTCCTTTATCATTGTTATTATTGGTGGTAGCAGTAGTGATTTGTGTTATACCTTAGTTACTAAACTGCTCTTATCTCAACCTGTGGGAGTTGCATTCTTTTGATTCTCCTCTCCGTCCCTCCAGGAGTAGGGGAAGGGCAAGAAATGGGGGAGTGAACGAACGAGCTGTCTGGCTGGGTTTAAACCCTGACAGAGTTTAATACAGAGGATTCAAAGGGGCAGCCTGAAATGGGAGCAATCTTGTTTCCCTAGACAAGTTTGCTGACCACCACAGAGCCCTAGAGCCTGATGGGCTCTCATCTCCACAGCTTCTCATGGCTTCTCCTTATTTGTACTTTTTTCCTCATTTGCAAGGAACACTAATTGTCACTGTTCCCTGCTCTGTATCTCCTCCCACACACCCTGCTTGTTTCCGGCAGGAATGGCTCACCAGAGCAGGCTGGGGAGGGATAGTGGCTGCTACCCTCCCGCCAGTGAAGTCTGAGGTGAGCTGCCCAGCACTCTCCACCAGCTGACTGCCTTCTGCAGTCCCTCCTCCTTGACATTTGCCTGGGAATGCAAACACTCCCTATTCCCTTTGCTTCCAGCTGAACCACAGTGGCTGCCACAGCTCCTACCCCAGGCAGCCTCTCTCTTGACCAGAAAGGCAGATCAGCAGAGGTCTCCTGCAGGTGTTCCTGCTTCCCCACCTCCAGCACACCATGTCTCACCCAGGACAATGGCCTCAAGGGCCTCACTCAGAGGGCGCTGCCGATCCAGCTGCCTCCCTCCTGGGGCAATGCACATCCCGTGAGGATTACCGCCAAGTAAAAGGCACAAGACAGCAGCTTGCAGCGACACTAGAAAGGGGTCTCTGGACCCAAACAGGTGACGCAGCCTCTGTACCTCCCCCTTGCTACTACAGCCACTGCAGCAGGCGGCCATGAGACCCAGGGAGCCAAGGAAGGACTCAGGGCATAAACTGCTAAGGCTGAGCATGGGATGTCAGCAGGCACCTGGTGGGGTGTGGAGCTGGCTACTCACCTGCAAAAGCAGCAGCTCTCCATCAACATGCGGCAAGTAAAACACTGCAAATCTCTCTCGAACAGAAGCTACCACTGATTAGCACTCCATAGACAACTGTAACAAGCCTTTCTAATCATTTCTGGCTTATTTTCTTTATTTGTAAAGGAAGTAAGCTGAGAGATACTGCTGGGGTCTTGAAATATTTCAGAAATTACCCTTTGGGAGGGTTATTTTCCAAGCTTTGGGACTCCCTGCAGCCTGATGAGGGCTCCTGGATATTTGCTCAAATATCATCAAAAGCTTTCTGGAATTGCAGATACTCACCAACACCATGTAACTCACTCATGAGTAAGCATACTCTCAAAGTACTAAGATCATGTGAACCAAATTTTGGGACTACAGAACAGGGCAGATGTGGGAATGAGAGGCAATTTGCCTTCCCAGAGCACAACAACCCATCTCCTACAGAAAGATGCAGGTCCTACCAAACCTGAAATCATGCTATCCTCACTACAGCTAGAGTGCCTGTCTGGATCCAAACCACTGTGTATTTAACTGAATATGAAATCACATGACTTAGCATTAGTTCTGGAAGGGTGTTCATGAACAACAACATTGACTCCCATCTCATGTTTTTTAAAAAAGCAAGAATTTACTTTATTGGTAGAACTGTACCTGATTACAGTACCTGATTACACTCAGTCAGGTAAGTCACATCAAACTAACCAGCGTCTGTCTTGCAAAGGAACTCTGTTTAATTTGGAAATAAATTAAGCAAAAAAAATTGAAACCACTTCATGTCTGAACAAAAGTCTGTATGTAGGCTGGGGTTTATTGTACCCTGAAGCCATCACTTGCCATTTGTTCCACTTCCCACACAGAGAAGCTCTAATGGATATTAATGACCAGATGAGATTCACTGAGAGACAAACCAAATCCATGCTGAAAATATGGAATTCCTACAGCCAGGACTGCTAGGTTATGCCACAAAAATCTTTTAGGTACAATCAGTTCAGCCAAAAACACTTTTATGGAAATGGCTCATTCTGTAAGTTATATGACTTATTGGCTTATTTTGTAAGTTATATGACTAACATCACAGCATCTGCTGGGACGACTTACCATTAAAGCAATATGGCCCCTTGAGACTCAGCAGCCTCTGAAACACTGACCAGTCAGCTCCTGTCCATAGAGTAGGAGTAACACCTGTGATGGTTTCCTAAGCTGGTCAGGTAGTGCTGCCTCAATGTAGAGTAAGCACATCAAAGAGGTTTTGCAATCTTTCCTATTTGATTTTCATCTGAACACAAATCAGTGGAGGGTAACCAGTTCCTGTGGAGAAAACACCAGCCTGCTGGGCAAGACATGAGAACAAAGCAAATCTTCCTCTCTTTGCTGTACTCCTACAGCCTGTACTCCTGCTGTCACTTGCTCAGCATGCTGCCCTCTGCTCCACGCACATCTCTTCCCTCCTGTGCTTCAGGTGAAACATATTCAGTCTCTTCACCAAACAGGCCTGGCCCCGTTCATAGCAGCCAGGTAGAGCCACACAGCCATCTTCCTTCCTCGTGCCCAACCACTGGAATTAGGAAATTAGCACACTGTAAACTACAAACAGATCACGAAGTCTGTCTCAAGAGTGTGGCTTAAAACTGCAATTACTACCTACAGTTACAGAGAACTACCACACACATTTACACAGAAATAGAGACAACTTGTCCCTCCTCCCCTCATATCTGTAATCTTACTGCTGGCATGCCACAAAGCTGTTCAGGTGAGGCAGCTTTGGCAGGGAGTTTGTGTGGAACTGCATAGGCTGTTTTTCCTTGGCATGGCGAACTTCAGAGGGCTGTTCCCTGCCATGTCAGACTTCCCCATGAGCAATGTTTTTCTCCAGCTGGATGTAGACCTGCATCCTTTCACTGTATATAGCTAGCACCTGAGAAGGAAGTCACAAATAACCACCTGGAGCCCACTCAGAGGGAGGACTTTCACCTTGGCACTGTGAGGGACAGAGGTGGGTTCAGCTCCTTTGATGACAGCAGCAGCAGCTCAAGTCCCTCTGTATCATTCAAGATCACAGTACAAGGACTGGGAGCAAGAAAAGTCAAGATATAAAATGGGCAGAATTCAAAAAAGCATCAATGTCCTTGACAATTAGCCCTCCCTAATGAGTTATGGTAGCTTTGCATAGCTGGAGAACAGGAGATGCTGTTGCCAAAAATACTCTCCACATCAGCTGGTCTCAGCTGAAATCATCCGCTGGAGGGGGATCATGGCACACCTACTGAACAACTACACAGGATTAGTATTTGGGATCAGTGTGTGCTTACAGCCTCTCAAGAGAATGTGATTGCTATATCTCTCCATTTCTGTAACTTCTTGGGGGAACTGTAACACCCCAGCAGAAAGAGAAGAGGTCTGGGGGTAAAGAAGGAGGAGGTCTTTGCAGTACCAGGTGCTGCTTAAAGCTGTGCCCTGGTGAGAAGGTTATCTGTGGTAAATAGTAAGGATAAACATTGTCAGAATGTCAAGAGAAGGAAGATTCCTGAACCTACTGTTCTTAAAGGATTTAATTTGCTGAGGTGGGTCTTCAGGAGTTGATAACTCTTACCTGTCATTATTTCTCAAAGAAAACATTAGACTAGGTGCAAAGCGATACTTAAGGAAAACCACAGCCAGACTCTGTGGATTGTATCCCAGTCTTATTTACCAGATGTGAAAAGCTGAAGAAAGTCAACAGAGCATGAGAAGCAGGGACCAGATGAGCAGCTGATCTGCAACTGCTGTATTTGCTTGGCACAAACACTGCTTGCCTTCCTAGCTCCCCATTCAATCCTGCAGTCCTTTCATTTCTAGTAAGTCAAAAAAAGTAAAGAAGATGACAGAAAAGAAGGAAATGTTTAATGAGAAATTTTCAATTTTGCTTAAAAATCAAAACCAAGAATTTGCACTGAGCTGTGCTCCTCCAACAGGTGGTACAGAAAGTATTCATCTGTCTTCCAGGTATCTCTTGCATTGCACTGTTTTACTAATACCAAAATCTTTCCTGTGTTGGGATCCATAGTAATCACATTCATCCTCCTTGCAAAACTATTTTTCCTTACTTGCCCCCCCCCCCCCAGCAATTCTAACTCTACTCTGCTCCATTAAGTGTATTCATACTAGCATCAAAGCATCTCCTGAAAAGATGTATTCGGAGAACAAAAGTAACAAGTTTATTAGAAAGGGATTTTTTCCTCCCACCTCCCATTTCCACTGTGATCTCTCTGTCTTCCCCCAGCCCTCTCCCTTTTTGTACTGTGGAAAAAATCGATTAAGCTCTCTTGGTATACATATTGCTGCAAGCCTCATTCTCCTCCTGGAGATTTCTTCAGCTGTCAGG